CAGGGGTCTCTTGACCCCGGCCTGACGAGTCAACGGTGCCGTGCGCCCCGGACCGAACTCGGGCGAAGTTGGCGATGCAGGCAGGTAAGCGGAGGAGTCGGTCTTGGACGACCTCCGACTGGCAGCGTTCGGTAGCTTGGACGGACTCATTGCAGCCGGAGGCAGAACAAACGGATCTGACCCGTCGACAGAGACTTGTTCCTTGATGATGAGCTCCCCGGACATGGAGGGAGTGGGCGGGAGACGAGAACGTGACATGGTTTGGCGAGTGTGCGACAGCCTCTGGATCTCGATGCGTCGTCGGGACGATTTTAGAAAGAAGAGGTAGTATTGATTCCCAGCAGGTCGAGTGTTGTCATCCAATGAAGGCAGCAGGTAGCACAGATGCTTAGAAGGATGTACGTTGTACAGGATTGGCTAGGTAGTAGGTAGTAGATAGGGTAGTCGAATAGAGCGGATAAGAACAGCCGCTTAGGGCGAGACCAATGACTCTATAAGAAGGGGAGAGAAATGAACGGGGTGTAGGGTGACGAAAGACCTAATTAAAGGGCATCCAAGAAATGGATGAGGCATAGTGGAGAGAGGGCGAGAAAGAGTCGGGAAGTTATTATGTATGCAGGAAGTGGATGATCGACGGGGGGGGTGGAAGGTGCCTCCAGGTGCAAGACATTTACTCCGTAGCTAGTATGGAGTAGTGACACTAACATCGAGCTCCCAGTCCGGCAGAGGGTTCTCAGTGTCGCGTGCTGGACGAGCCCACGCGGTGACAGGGTGGTCCCTGATTGGCGGGCAGGCCGAAGCACGAGACCGAGGCCGTGCCTGCCTGAGGTATCCAAAGGGGGCGCGTGCTCAGCCGGGCGCTTCTTACGGGCGGACCCGATCCAGCCCTTGCCGACTCCCTCAACCCTTTCCAACCTTCTCGACCTGCTCGAGTCTTCGGCACGAACATCATGTCCCCGTCGCCCGCCCTGATTGGTATCCGGTATACTGCGCAATGGACCATGGAATGAGTCCCTAGTCCCTACTGCTGAGGACGGCCCTTTTTCGTGCCATTTCGTGTCTTTTTCCGGAAATCTCGACTTGGCTTCACATTCAGTCCTATTTTAGCCGAATTCAAATACACAAAAAAATAGTCAATTCAACCATGATCACCGCTGGGCATAACTAATCAATAAATCAGATACAATACAATGCATGGCCTCCGGTCCAACGCCAGGCTGATTCCGTGGGCTTTATCTATTTGCCGCCGTAGCTTTTGTTCCATTTCCAACCCCCCTTTTCCCACCCCCTAGTTCTTCCGTTGGATGTCCCGTCCAGACGGGCATCCGAGCACGTGCTCCTCCTCCCCCCCGACACTGGATCCTGGGCGGTCCCTGATGGATTCCTTTTGCCACCCAGGCTGGTGTACTCCGCTTGATGCGGAAATAAACCAAGTGCCCCGTGAAACGTGCGCGGCTTTTTTTTTTTTTTTTTTTTTTTTTTTTTAGCAGCGGTCGGTGCATCCGATGTAGGTGTCCCAGCTATGTCTTTGGTCAGCAAATGGCTCGCTCGTTGATGTCACGTGTGGTGGTTTACTTACCAAAAGTCTTCGTCCTCCGGAAGAGCAACGACGCATGCTTGGGCTGCGACGGCACAAACTGAAGGGCAGCGGTCGATCCGGGGATCAAGGCTCTGGTCCTCGTTGGATCCGTGTCGGGCGCCCCCGGAGCCGTTGTTGGGCGACATGATCTTAGGCCAGTGTCTCATCGGCGCGTTCGCCGTCGTGTTGGTCTTGGCGGTCTCGATCTGAGTCTCCCGATGAGGCCCGGCTTGGTCTCCGGTTGGCCTGGCAATGCTGACGCCCGCAAGAGCGGCGATAGTGGCGACGATGAAGGTGTTGAATTGCATGGTTGCTTTGGAGGTGATTGGAGGAAGATAAAGAAAGGTTCCTAGAGAGGATCTGAATGGAGTGGAAAGAGATGTTTGTATAAGAGGGTTGGTTTTTGATTGGTCTGTTGATGAACTGTGAAGAGTGATTGTTGCTGATGAAGAACAGAACCTACTTCATTTGGCCTCCTTATATAGCCGTCATCGCAGCAGCACAATCGCGGTGGATGCGGTTCACGATGGCGGGGATCTCAACCCCAGCCTCGTTTCTCTTACATTTAATGTCAGAGAAAACCACGATCATTCATGCAGCATTCCTCGCGCCCCTCTTGGTTCCCTCTGAACGGGTACAGAGCATGCTCATTGGACCGGGAGCATTCCATATGTGTGGCAAGGGCCAATCATAATATACTGGCCATTCAGATCCCACACCTACGTCGCTCTCAAGGGCTGGCACATTCCAATTGGTGTTCAAGTTCAGCGTGAACTGTGGCAAATGGCAATTGTGGTTGTGGCCGGGAGTATCTGGTTTCCGTTTTGAGGCTGGAGTCAACGTCGTGTACTTCATTGAACGATTGCTTTGCATTGCACTCTTGCACATGTCTCCAACACGTGTTAAAGGCCTAATAAGTCTACAAAGGTACCGCGTCAAGAGGCATGGTGTCCACACAGTACGGTTTTTTTAGATTAGCGGAACAGCCACATTGAGGCCTTCTCAACAGCCCCTGAAGTAATTCTAAGGGATTGAAATGTTGTAGAATAGGTACTTCGTACTCCGCATATACAAGTGGATACCTTCCCCATATTCCGCGTGTAACAGACTAACAGCAACAGAGATGTAGCCTCCCCCAAGCCCGCTGAAGGGATGACATTCCAGGTCTTGCCAATTACTGGGGGTGGGTCCCTACGATGTCGATCATCTCCGTCGTCTCCATCCCAGGACCGCTGAGGAATGAAACCCGCCCCTTATCAACATGCTCATTTCTTCAATGCATTAATCTAATACATCATATGTTATGCTATGCATAACTCTTCATACCAACCATGGAAACCATGACGTCTCTATGACTGAATCTATATACGTTGAAATCAAAAACTCATGTATGTTTCCTTTTCTCCGAAGGGATATGTTCCAATCTCCCGGAAACTCAGCAAAAGAAACCCCCTTCTATGCCTAAGTGAACAACTTCGTCAGGAGAACCTCTCCAAAGTTGTGCTCCACGGGCGACTGATCCATCCGCCAGATGCGGTTTCCATGCTTCGAGCTCAGCCAGAGTCCATGGTCACTGGGGTTTTCCTCCTCTCCTTCCATGCGGTGACGGTCCCGTCGGTCGACAACACACAGGCCTCGCGTCCACTGTCCGGTAGTCTCAACTCGAATGTCTTCCGGCGACGTGACAGAAGGCTTCCAGCCGTCGTGGTCCGCCGTAAGAGCGTACCACACGCACACGGGATCGTGTAGACTGAGTTCAACGTCGTCTCCAACCTGTCCCTGATGCAGTCTTTCAACGGTGCTAAAGGTATGGGCCATGAAAGCGGCAGACCACTCAGCCAATGGAGAGCCCTTCTCCAAAAGAGGGGTGACAGTCTGGCGGAACTGCCCACGCTTGATTCCGTGACGGTGGGTGATGTCCAAAGGGAACATCTTCACGGTAAGCTGTCTGCTTAGACTAGCAGGGTAGCCGGCCAGACTGGCGCTGGCCATGGGCATTGCGGTCCGGGGAGTCGGAGACGTAAGGGCGTAGACTCGGGCCGCGGCGAACGCATCGGCATATGCGTTGAATTCGGCACCAGGGGTGACCTGATCAATTATGTCAGCTTTCTCCTTCCGCCCCCTACATATCTCTGTAGAAAGTAACCTACATTACCAGGCTCATTGATGGCGCCTCCCATCACCACGACCTCCTTGACGCGCAAGAAAGCCTCGGGGTCAGCGGCAGAGGCCAACGCCAAGTTCGTCAACGGGCCCACAGCCACCAGCGTCACCGTGTCGGGGTCATTCTCGCGCAAGACGCGAAGGATCTCCTCGTGCGCTGGGCGCTTCGATGGAATGAACGACTTGTGCGCGCCATCGCCCGCAGGAACGGGCTTGATATCCGACGAGTCCGTCGACGGGTCGAACATATGCTCCCACGTCTCCCGGGGAGTCAAATGCGGGTGCTACAGTCTTGTTAATTATCCGGCTCAACGCACAAACAAACCAGAAATCAAGACGCAAGGGTGGAACTGTGAAACATACGCTGGCATGAATACCTCCCAATCCATCCGTTCCATCTACTAGGCATTAGCATTGCGCGGGAATAAGAACCTTAGAACACAGGGGCGTTGGGGGCAAGGCTTACGAAAGTAATCCGCCAACATTTTCTGATCCTCCAAAGGATCCTCGGCACCTACCGCCACGATAGGAGGGTGGGCTCGGAGAGCTCCGAAGCCCTCAGGCCGACCCTGTTCGCGACGCCACTGCATCTCGCGCTCTAGGATATGGAACATAGAGACCGCATTACGGAGACAGCTATATTTGACGGCGTTAGTTAAGCGTGCGTTCAACATAGACAGGCTCTAGGTATCAACTTCTCCGCCCTTGACACTCACTCACCTTTTCACTTCGATGTTTCCGAAAGTCAATGAGATCAAGAGCACCTCGACCTCCTCAGGCGTAGCAGATAGCGCGAGCAAAAGACCCAGGATATCATCAATTCCCTGAAAGAAACGTCAGTAATTGCCATTTGCATATAACCCGGGGTAAATGGTAAGACGCGGGGTGGATTTGCATGGCGGGGAAAGGAAAACACGTGGGTACGACTGTTCTATTTCAAGATCCAAAGCAACTTACCGGGTCAGTGTCGATGATGATCTTCTTGGGTGCCATGGCGAATGCTGAGGTAGATATTGGGTTTCCAGAGACTGAGTAGGATTCTGTACAAGCAGAGGGGAGAATAACTGGGATGAAAGAGAAAAGAGGAGATGGGTTTATATCTTGGAAAAAAGTGGGATGTCTTGGCGGTTGCTGATAAGGCTGCTTAGTCAGGGTTAGTTACATTAGATCTGATGACAATACAAGCCCTACATTGATCTATATTTGACTTCATTCACAGACAGTATATCAGTCTACTACTTAACTGACAGAGTAGGGTTTACGTCCAGAGGGTCTCATCGCTCATTCCGATGATCTGACGATCTCCCACAATCTCGATCGATGCAATAACCGCGTCCAGCGCCGCCTTCTCTGCGGCCGACAGCTCTATAACGCCACAGTTTTCCTCCACTCGCGAAGTAGCCGTGGCTCCCGGGATAGGAATAATCTTGCCACAGTTGCCCTGGTTTGAGTGCGAGCGGATCCAGGCAAGAGCTAATTGCGCCGGTGTAACGCCACGCTCTTTGGCAATGATCTTGACCTTGTCGACCAGTTCGAGGTTTTTATCGAAATTCTGTCTCTCATTAGTTCCTCTACGTTGAATTGAACTGGGTGCTATTCAAACTCGACATACCTCTGGCTGGAATCTACCAAACAGATGTCGCACGTCACCCTTGGGAATATCCTCCAGCTTGGTGACCTCTCCCGTTAGGAACCCATAACCCAGCGGAGCGTATGTGAGAATCGTCACACCATGCTGCTTGCACGCATCTGCCACGCCGTTGGTGAGCATCTCAGTACTCCACAGCGAAAACTCGATCTCCACAAAACTGACCTGGCACACAGCAGCTGCACGATGAAGCGTCTTGGCCCCGACTTCTGACAGGCCCACGGCATCGATTTTCCCCTCCTTCACGAGCTCGTTCAGAGCGCCCACGGTCTCCTCGACTGGCACCTCCTTGTCTATACGCGCAGGGCCAAAGACGTTGATTTTCTTGAACTCGCCGAGGATGGTCTGGCTTTCTTCGTAGCTGGCGCGCACACCTGCCCGGTCTGTCTGCGGTTTAAAGGTGACGGGGTCGAAACAGGCGCGGATGAAAAGCTGGACCTTGGGTGCGTCCTCAGGATACTTCTCAAAGTATCGACGCAGCAGCCGCAGCCCTACCGTGGGAGGCTCCGGGTCCATGCCGTAGATAGAGGAGCTAGACCAAATAGTGGCGCCTCCCGCAATGGCGGCTTTCATGGCGGCAAAGGCTTGCTCATCGGGGGTAACCTTGGGGCGCCAGGTCATGCCTAAGAGGCTGAAGCCAGTGGGAGGGATGGAGTAGGAGATAGTCATGTTGTCTATGATAAGCTTGATTTCACAGTGTTTGGGCTTTGGAAATAAGAGCTCACTTGATTACCTCACAGCGACACCCAGCGGCCATGTTTATAGCTCCACCAGGCACAAGGCAGGGTTGGACCGGATTTAGCCCGGGGTTTACTCGTAGTCCGTGGCCGTAGTCCGGATGAAAAGCCATAGTTCCTCGGCATGGAATGCTATTGGAGCTGAGTAGCCAGGGCCGAATAGTGCAGCGCTCAGGCCGTGGCTGTGGCGTTTCCAGACAAAGAAAACGCACACCCCAGCTGGTCGGAAATCACAGCTCAGTTCGTTGAATATACTAGATCCGCAACGATGACCACTCCTGAGATTGCCACTTTAATCCAGCAGATTGACGCCGTGCTGCAAGCGCAGCCTAAGCTGCCGGATGAGAAGCAATGCCAGTTGCGCGAGGCCGGCACCACGCATATCCCAAAACAGATCCAGATGAGAGTCCACATTAACATTGATGATGGTGCCATTCCAAAGGGCCAGACGAATATCACGCACATCATCACTTGCCAGGGCGTACAAATCTTGTAGTCGACCAACGCCACCCCCAAGCAGCAACTGTCAATTCCTGGAGCAGCCCCCCCACCCCCCGCCCACTGTTAGACCGTTGTCGGCGTTCAGCGCGGCGTGGTTGAAATTCTCCATACTTATCATAACTGCATCCTGGACGGCCTCCAGGGTCGCCGAGTAGCCATGTCCATCTGCTTTGGTCTTCTACATGAATTGAAGCTGAATTCGTGCGTTATCAGTCTCTTCCTCTGGTTTAAACGGTCTATACAGGTACTGGAGTAGCCTCACTCGGCTATGTTTGAACGCATGGCAACTTATTTGAGGCTGTTGTTTTGGCTGATCGCGGACCTGAGTGGGTTGAATAAGGAATAATGTCCGAGAGATAAGAAAGAAGGAAGTGGTTCTTGACACCAGATATCCCGACTAGACACTGCACTACCAAGCGCTACTTACTACTTACTATACATGTTTAAAAGCCAAATTAAAATACCATGGAACCCAATCGAGCTCAACTAGATGCGTTCAACGTCATCTACCAAAACCAATCACTGCCTGCCATCTACCCTGAGTCCATTTAGCTGTCCTTGCCCCTTGCACGGCCGGAGCTCCAGTTATTCTCTTTCATGAAGAGGGCTGTAGAAACGACGTTAGTAAAACGTGAACCTTTGATTCCCGAGCAAGAGAGAAATAGAATGCCAGAGAAACATACACAGTGCCAGCATGCCTAGACTATCAACATTGGTCGCGGTTTTGTCAACATTATCTGAGACCAACTTAACGGCGCCGTTAAACTTGTAGGCCTTGTTGACAGTGCCGCCAAGCCAGCTGACGGGTTCCGAGATCGGATGGTCGTCATCTATCCCATAAAGTTAGTCGTCTGGGTCAAGAAGCGAGGGGGTCATTTTTAAGAACACATACAACCGAGCAAGAAGTGTGTCAGCTCATGGAACATGCTATAACTGAGAGGAGTGGCCCAATAGTCCAGCGATTGACTATAGTCACCCGCGTATTTACTGTCGCTCCAATCTTTTGAGGAGTCGTCGTGCTCGTCGATCGTAGACCGAGGCTCCGTCATCTGTGCAAAAGAGAAGGCTGACGAACAGACTTGAATGTATTTGCCCATGTGAGTGATGGCGATAGTCCCCAAGTCATCCTGGCAGGCGGGCTCGCCGACTGGCCACCATTCTTGGGCGAAGGTGTCTAGTTTGTTTGAGGCATGAGCATCTAGAGAGAACTGAAGGGAAGGATAATGGAGCAACTTACCGTAATACATATATGAGTCGGCAGCAGTTCCATCTGTATAGGGAATCTGGATTCGGTTCCCGTTCTCATAGTGCGTGAACCTGGTCAAGTGCCCATCACCGCATAAGAACGGAGGATCACGTGTGTTTCGATTGTCCACATAGTCCTTGAGTGTCTCGAGGCTTTCTAGCGGCAATATGTGAGGAATTCGACAGTCAATAATATAGGGGAAAGAAAGGAGCACTACTCACTTATGACCTTATTCCAGCGGTCTTGCGAGGTCGACTTATCCCCGTCGTTCTGGCCCTGGAAAGTGTTGAATGACTGGACAGTTCGGGTGATATCAAAGTTGTCACCGCTCTGGTCCGCCGCCTTATTCATATAATCGCGAGCTCTCTCGGCTATAGCCCCGACTTCCTGGATAGCCATGGCGATTTCTCCTCGCTTGTCGCCATAGTTGGTCTCCACGCCTTCCGAGTTCAGTCCCCTGAGCGCACCGCATGACTCAGAGAGTTTCTGCGCGTTGACGAATGATGTGCCGAGGCCTAGAATAAGGACAAGGCAACGACGTATGACTGCCATGGGTCGGACTTGGTTTGGTATGAAGCGAATTATTCAAAAGAGTGACAAAGTTAGGAAATCAGATTTGATCAAAAATCAATAGTCATGAAAACAAAAAGAATGCAATGCGTTGGTTAATAGATAAAGATAAAGAACGGAAAGAGGACTCAACGGGCGCTCATGATTCCGGCAAGCATACCTCAAGAGAAGTAATCTAGCATATAAGATTTGATGTTTCGGGGCTGCCCCAGGATCAACAGGGGCTGCTTTGCACCCTGGCCCCCAAATTGACCCGTCATGGCCGTGCTTCGAATCAAGCCTCTTAGGTGCAGTTGGTCCTGGCATTAGTCTGGGAGTCGTTTCCGGTCTCGACAGGACCGGAGTCCGTTCCAACTCCACACGTCGTACTCGAAATGGCCCGTGTGGTTGGTGGCCTGGCAGGATTTGTTGTCATAGATCGTTCCACCATGCCTTTTCCGCCGTTATCCGGGTTGATCTCTGAGGTGTTCGCCCCATCCTGATACACTTCGAACGGGATGAAATGAGGTCATAAGAGCGGGCTGTGCCTATAATGTAAAACACAAGATCTTCAGTTGGATGAGAATGAGGCTGAGGATGACGACGATGGTATAGATCCAAGCATTCAGGCACAGTCAGCCCTAATCCTGATCGGGACTAGCCTCGACCGACGGCGTTTCGTTCCTGACCTTCCATTCTTCTCTCTATTCTCTCTATCTCAACAGCATCGTCATTTCCGCTGTGTGGCACCACGGCCAAGGCTGTCAATCTTACGTCCCACGACAAGCAATCCAAAGTGTTGGGACAATCCGTCTAGACTTGCATCCGTCTTGACATGCGATACTCCACACTCCGCTTGCTCGCAGATTGGGATCGACCCACCCAGTCTGACTGGCGATTTCACTGTAAAGCTTTTACTTTCGACCCCAAATTGATCGCCGAAATTACGATTGCGGGCTGCGCCATTTCCAGGGGTTGAAACAATTCCCCAGTCTGCTATAATGATACATCCTGTTTGATTCCAGTTGAAAATAGCGCTCTATGAGGAACCCCTTATATTATTGATCGACCTGAAGAGATGGTCTTCTCTTGGGAAGCCTGATGGACAGCCATTTTCTATTATAAGAATACTAGGTCCAACTCACTCCTTACCTGGGTTCTCCATTGCATAGGTACTGGATACCGTCATTCGTTAAATTCAGTTTGTTACTACCCTCGTTCCCTTTAAGCCCAGTCTCTCCTTTCCCCGGTGGATATATCCCTATGAAGTATGTCGTTCTTTGGGAGTCTACTGGGCCTTAGTCTTGTGGTCGGCAGCAATGCCATCCCAGGACTGCCCCATGGCTATACTCTCGTTCAGTCCACCGATTTGGCCAAATCTACAACTTATGACGAAATCGGATTCTACTCAACTGCAACAATCCCCGGAGCCTCTCCTACATTTGTTTCAAGATATGTATGCATCCCCCCTGCCCCCAATGGCAATGATAATTAAATACTAATCCTGTTATGCAGGATGCCACGGTCGTTAGTGGTAAAACGCTCCCTCTCGTCACAACGACTGATGACGCAGGAGCACCTGCCACTTGGATCGGAGACTGGAATACGAATTCAGCTGGCTCTTCAGCCCTAGTACCTGTCCAGGTTTGCTCAGAGGTTGCGCAACCGTTGGACGGTAGATCGAAGCTGGTACAGAAACGCGATTTGGTCTGCGCAGACGTGTCTGCTTCTACTTCTACCCCCGTGCAAACTACTACCCCCCAGTCTCCGACCTCGACGGGACCTACTAGTACAAGCTCTGCACTCACCCCAACAAGCCCTTCGTCAAAGCCAAGTTCTCCGACAACCAGCTCTCCGACTACCAGTTCTGCGACCACCAGCTCTTCGCAGACTACTACAGAACAGTCAACTTCATCGAGACCGACCCCGTCGTCGACCCCTTCGTCGCCCGCAAAGAGCCCAACCTCGAATGGCTCCGTGCAGAGCTCTGCTACCGAGAATAGCTCTGAAAGCACTACTCAAGATTCGACGGCGACTGCACAGTCAACTTCGACAACTTCGGGTAGTAGTTCTCTCATAAGCAGCAGTACCACACCGACTTCCCCTTCTAGTACCCCGGGTAAAAGTACGGAAAACTCAAGCTCGAATCAATCCAATACCGCATCGACACAAAGCACTGGCGACTCGACTGCTACCACTGGTGATTCAGCCGCTACGACTGACGCATCCACTACTACTGCTGAGAACACGGGTACTGCAACAGACAGCGATTCCACAACCCAGTCGGCCACTAGTGATGACAAGGTCACCACAACAATGACCTCCGAGCCCACTGGCTTCAAGGCTTCTACAGTAACCCACAGTGGCTGGACCGACGACTTCATCCTGACCACTACCGTTGGCGGCCATGAGACTGAAGTGCCAGTTCTTACTGATTGTGGTGACGATTGCGGCGGCGATGACGATGACGATGACGATGACGATGACGGCTCTATCATCTTGTGGGGAATACCGATAAAGACCGGAATCCAGTACTCGCTGCCTAAGCTTCCAAAATTCCACTTCCCATGTATCATTAACTGCGGCAGTGGTGGCGGTGACGGGGAGCCTGGAGCCCCTGAACAAGGTGATCCAGATGACGACGACGACGACGACGACGACGACGATGACGATGATCACTCGTCAACCAAATCGAGCGAGCAGTCTACCACTTCTGAAGCTACTACCTCCGATGCTACTACCTCCGACGCTACTACAACCTCCGAAGCTACAACCTCGTCCTCATCATGCACATCGGTGATGACAGTGAGTGATTGCATAGTGTCATGTCCTGCCACGGAGAGTTGCAGCCAGACATGCTTCAGTACCATGACGGGCTGTGATGTGACAGGCACAACCTCTACTGCTACCGCAGACGTGTGTTCTTTCACAAACTCCGACTACCGATGCCGCAACACGACGGCTCCCACCCTAACCGCTGGAATTGACGAGGTAGTCACCTATACTAGCGTAGGCTACGACACTGCCCTAGCCGAGAGCATCGAGGAAGCCCAAGAGACTCAGCCTACCACCCTACCCTGGGCGAGTGATGCTGGGACCGCTACAAATTCGGCCTCACCCTCGCAGAGTGCGACTGCGACTACAGCGACACAGACGCCTGAGTCGACGGGCTTTACTACCCTTGTTTCTCCGTCCCGTTCGCCCTCTTCTAGCCCAAGCAATTCCCCCACGTCAGCTTCATCGACCATCCCACCCACCACGACCGACGAGCCGACCACGACCGACGAGCCAACCACGACCGACGAGCCAACCACGACCGAAGAGCCGACCACGACATCGCTGGACCCCAGTCCCACCGAGTCAGCCAGCTGCTTCCCGACGCATGGCGAGCATGATGAAGACAAAATCCTCGAAGTCGTGCAGCCTGACGGATCATACTGGTGTAACCAGCCGAACGAGACATTCTTCGATCACACGGATCCGACCTCCCCCGCCGGTAATAACATCATTAGCGCCGGATGGACCCTGGCGGACGATGCACCGGAGGAGTGTCAGAATCTGGGTGATGATGCTAATCAATCGCTGTGTGCGGACCCGTTGAATCAGATTGTGAGTGACTGTCCGTGGAATGGTGGGTCGATTAAGAATGTTTGTGGCGAGTTCTGGATGCAGACTTGTACTTTGAGGTTGACTTGTGATGTGGGAGATCCGCAGTAGTTTTTGTATAGTATGCTTTGATTATGTAGGGGGGATGTAAATGGTTGCGAGTGCGAATGTGAATATTTGACTTTTCTGTTTGGATATGAGATTATTGCTATACTCATGTTTAGGGTTCGACTCTACTAGATAAAGAAACAGATACATGTGTCTGGATTCCCACGTTTAGGGGTTGACTCGACGAGATATACAAACAGATATAAACCCCTGTATTCCTAGTCAACCCCTCTAGAAAAAAATAGCTCAACTAGAAAACACCACCAACCAGGCCTTCATAAATAAATCATCCTTACAAACTCCCCTTCCCCGTCTTCCACATCCTCAACTTCCCAAACCACGTCTCCATCCCCTCCGTCGCTCTCTCCTCCCACTTTTCCTTCAATAACTCTGCCTCCTCTCTCCGCGCCCACTCCTCCCGTCTCTCCTTCCCTTCCCAAATATCCAGCATGACGTACCACCCTCCCGTTCCCGTTCCTGTTTCAGCCCCAGCCCCCAATCCATCTCCCCCTTCTCCACTCCCATCGCCACCCGACCCTTCCGATACAATGGTCCCCCATCCCCCAGCCGCGCCCAAACATCCATATCTCAGCTGCTCGCCCCTCGGAAACAAATCCTGGCGCGTGTATTGCCACAACGAAGGAATCTGGGCCTTCTCGGCGGGGTCCATGGTGGTGGGGAACTTTGCGATGGTGAGAGCTGTCACTGGGTAGGGTGGGGTAGAAATGCTTGTGGCTGTGAGGGGTGGGTGGGTGGTGAATTTCACGGAGATGGAGCTGCGGATGAGAGAGAGGAGGATAGGAGAGAGGGTTTTTGTGATTGATGAGAGGGCGGATGGGGATTGGGATTTGGTGTGGAGGGTTAGGTCGTCCCAGTCTGGTTTTGGTGGGTTAGATCATATTATGTTAGATTTGTTTTGCTGGGTAATGGAGTTGAGAAGAAAGTAGGTAGACATAGGTATAGATACCCAGGGACAGAAAGGAAAGAAGGAAGGAAGAAATAATCTCACCGATTATTAGAAGAACCACATCATCATCACCACCTTTAACACCACTTCCCCCCTCAGCTCTACCCCAATAGAACCTCCCAAGCCCAGGAGAAGGCTGAATCCCCTGTTTCTCGGACCCGCGGATCAAATCAAGAGCCTGCGCCCAGAGTTTCCCTGCGGAGGTTGACGGATCTTCAATGGGCGTGTTGGGTCGGAAACGCAGGAAGATGATCTCCGTGATGGCGTTACGGTCTTGGATATAATCTGCCTGAGTGGGAAGGGCTGATGCAGGCACTGGTGGTATGGGGAACGGGTGGATTGGGTATTTGTATGGCATTGTGGTTGGATGGTGGATATTAGAGAAATGAAGGTTGATGGTAGGACTGTTTTCGGGGTATTGATTTTCGAGTTGGAATGGATGATTTCTCAGGATCAGGATCAATGGCATCGTATGCTATTGCTGGGCTATATATGCTCGGTCCAGGAATAATGTAATCGTGTCAGACGGTTTCAGGTCCCTGGTTTAGGTTGTTAGCGCAAGGCTGTGGCTTATTTTGGGTGAGATCTACCTGTGGAGTACCGCTAGGATACCTGGGTGAGACGATGACGTCGGAATTGTAGACAGTGGGTCGATCTTGATATTTGCAGAGGATGAAAAACAAAGAGAGAAAGAGAGCGGAGGATCATTGAGAACAAGTGATAGTCCACGTGATTGTCGTATGGCCAGCCACCTGCCTTTTTGTGTTATCTGTTAACAATTTGGGGCCATAATGAAGTTGAACCTGGTAGGTGAGGGGATTTTAAAAGCTCATTGGCATAGGTAGGTACTGTCGAATATCCTTTATTTCCGAATACTACACAGTATGCATGCACACTACACTTGGAAACACCACATTGGATATAGTTCACAGAGAACTTCCAGGTATAATTGATCGCAGATGCATGGATCTGGGAGAGTACTACTTCATGCTATGATTGTTTGCAAAATTCACAAACAGAGACCCTTATGTCCCATTGTCCATCGATACATAGAAAGCACCTCTTTCCGAAGAACCTGAAACTCGGGATCGAATGAGTCCGGCCGCCTGACGCGATACAGAATGGACCTGAAGGCTTTGCGGAAGGTTTTCTACAGCATCTTCTGTGTTAGTTTCGAACCGAGGTTTTGTGTGCAAAACGTCAAATTGACTAACCTGGAAGTCCGTGCTCAGCGTCACGATAGCAACCTCGTGTGCGCGAATGATCACCTCGCAGGCCTGCTCGACTGACTCATTGGGTCCGATCTGGGGCATTCTCTCCGCGAATAACAAGAGCACAAAGCTGCCGTGGAAAAGATATATGCCGAAGAGATACGGCATGAAGGAAAGCTCCGAGTCGACGCTCAGAATGTCACTGATGCATTGGGCCGCGGCGATGGAGCTTGAAGCACACTCCGAGAAACTGGGCGAGGCGATCCAATTACCTGTGTCCTCAAGCATGGAGATGGCGTCCCATTCGCCGTGGAGGAGGACATAGAGAACTTTGATGATGTACGTTGAGTAGGCGATTACGAGCTGCGCTCGCGTGTTGGTGGGAGACCCTGGGAGGGTGTTGTCTGCAAAGTCTGCGAGACTGGATTCGCAGTGGGAGAGGGTTTGTTTGATGGCGTCGAGGTAGGATGAGTTGTCGATCGGAAGACGAGGGTGGTGGTGCCGCAGTCGGAGGTCGATGATGTCTCCAAGGATGGCCATGAGTGGAAGGAAGTATTCGAACAGCCCGGGTCCGGATATAGTCGTGGATGGGCCGTAGGTGCGACGTGGGAGTAAATCGAGAGGGATGGTATCGAGGTCTTGCCAGATGTCCTCGGGCAGGGGACCAAGGACATGACATTCGGCGTCGAGAATGTGTAGTGATCCGTTGAATGATAGTGCCAGGTGCCTGTCTAGGGCGTATACTAGCCAGAAGGCTCGCCGTCGTTCTTCTTGATCTTCAATGGTGCTGGAGGAATGTTCGGAGATGTCGCTATTTCCAGCTATGCCCGGTTCGGTATTGTATCCGAGGAATTTGACTAGACCAACGGCTTTGTTCCACCATTTGAGACAGTCAGCCTTGAAAACGCCTCCGGAAATGACTACAGTCAGCAGAGTAAAGGTCAACACGTCGTCTACCGTCGGCTGTGGACCAGTACTGAATGTTCGTCGTGCCTTTTCCCCTTCATAGCTGCCCACACTCAGCATACAGTCCTCCTCGAGCTGCCAGCCTCCTGCCACCCGGTGCCAGTTGTCCGTGTCCCTTAGGCGCAAATGGGACATGGCGAGAGAATATAGATGGTTGGTAATACGCTCCCGAGCCCCGGGCACGTAGTAGATACGACTGTCAGCAGTCTGGGCAACGCACCAGAGCATGGTTGCCAGCAATGCGGGTGATGTAGGACGCGGTTTAGTTCTATGCAGCAGCGACTTTTTCCGCAGAACGGTAGTGAGAACGTAGGGGCTGTGGGTACTCGAGAGAGAGTTCCCGGGCCCCGAAAAAAAGGTATCCAACAAGTCGCAGGCCTCATTTGCAGACATGAACCCTTTCAGGCCTGGCAAGATCCTTTCAAGGCACGGGTAGCGACATGGAATAGGCTGCTGCTGCCCATTCTCGTTGCTATTAGTAGCACTGGGTGAAATAGGAAACGCGACAGGAGAAAAGGAATCTGCTTGCCGGAACCCGAATGTTGAGCGCGAGTCTGGCCCGTTGGGTAAACCAGTCCGCTCATCATGAGCTGTTCCTGGTTCTGTCGGCGGAAGTTGTAGCTGCCTGAACCTGTCGTCTTCAGTGGCAGCTAGGTGTGATGATAGCGGTGCCATGCCCATTGAAGTGATGGACTGGGAGCGATGTCGCACCATGTCGCCATGCGCACCATAGCTATCGGAAGATAGTATTGCGCCCACTGTGGATCTTTGGCTCTGTTTCGATGCATTGCTTCTGCGACCGCGCTTTTTCATTTCACGGTTGTATTGACATGACAAGCTCAAGCCTGCTAGAGTTAGGTATTCACTTCTGGGTCCAGGGCAAAGAACTGTTATAGCTCACCAACACAACGTGTACTAATGACATAAGGACAGGTTGGTCAGAACTAAAGAATATGCGAGAAGGATCTGATCGTACCACGGCGCATGGCCATCGCAGCGCATGCGCGAGAAATTACACTGATCGCAAGCGCGCCCGATCCTCCTTCGGTTGTTTTGAGCGTTCTCTGACGAAGACAAAGATGGGTCCATATTCCCCACGACGCGATCGAGATCGTTGATTAAGCAGTATCAAGCACCTGCCGTACGCTAGGCAGTTGTCTTAGGTAGGTCCCGGAGAAACAAAAAGACGGGCGAATGGGTGGGTTAGCGTTCAATGGAAATGAAATCAACCACGCCAGAGATGAAAATGTGGGGGAAAGAGAGGAGACGCATACCAAGCATTCGAGTCCGGGGGAAGCGTACCGCCGAAGATGAGGAGTCCCCAGTGCAATTAGCCTGAAGAACCTCGTCTTAGCGTGATCCTCGCCTTGGCAGAGAGGGGGCTGGTGGACTTTGGCGGAATAATGCGAAAGATGGGAAGATGTGAGAACAGAAGGAAAGCCAAAATCTAAATTCTAGGGCAAATATGATATGTACCAAAATAACATGAAGTATGTCCAGTGCGGTCGATCTTGAAGGGTCCTGATCCATAGCATCTCCGCACATAAAACAACCAGAAGGTAGCAAAAATATGTCGGATTATTTATTCCACCAAGCAACAGGATTGAAACCAATGGACCAGACCAGCATAGGCAGAGATAGTATCAAAACTGCGAAGAACTCGCGACGCCGCCACAGGGACACTTTCGACTCCTTCTTGCCCGTCTCAAAGTCGTATTCCACCCATTCCCCCAAAATTTCGCGGACTTTGTGGCAGAGCCCATGATCGACTCGTTCGATTTCTTCGTTAATATCCTGCAGGACAGAAATGTCCGGTTCATCTGATTCGTGTTTGCTTTGGAAAATGGTCTGCGCAGCGTGTACATTGCTTTCAATGTCACTGAGCGAGCAGATTCCCAGAATAGTGTGGACGGAAACCCCATTATTGGACGCTCTGTTTGCCCTGGCAAGGGAGAACCGAAGTGCAAGGCCAGCCAAAGTCGAACCTTGCTTTTCAACCCAGTTTGAAGACTGCTTCACCACGCTGCGAAGCCCATCGGGCGCCGGGTGCCAATCCCCAAGCTTGCCGGAGGGCACGTCGCCAGCTCGCAATAGACCCGATGCCAGCGGACTCGAACTGCATATCGTAGAGACTCCGGCACCACGCAAGGCAGGGATACCATACCGCTCCAATCGGGTGTTCTGCAGGGTCATTTGCGCCCAATTCTGTACAATGTCGAGGGGTCGATTGTATTGTTTCTGGACGGTATGTGCAATGCGCACCAGACGGTCTATGGAATAGCCGGAAATACCCACACATCTCACTTGGCCTTTTTCGGATAACTCGAAAAGGGCACCAACGGCCTGGATGGCTTCCTCCATCGAGACAAATTCAACGTCGTGGCAAAAAACAACATCCAGGTAGGAGGTGCCCAGTCGATCTAATGACCTTTGGACCGACTTTTGAATACACTCCGCGGAGTAATCAAACTGGTCGGCGGATATTCTGCCGGCTTTGGTCATCAAGATATAATCGCTGCGGGAGTATTTGCCGGTCACTTCGGGGCTGGCAAGTGCTTCACCTAGTAGTTGCTCGGATGGCTCGTAGTACGGTGACGTATCAATTGCTTTCATTCCCACGTCGAACGCCCGACGAATAATCTGCGGAATTGGAATGCTCTTTGGATCTGGATGGATTTGGTAACTAAACCCAGCACCACCGAGAATAATCGGGGGAAGCTTCAGTAGGCGGGAATGGTCTGGCGCGTCCATCGTGCGATCGGGCTGGTCGATTTCCATGATTCCTCGGCGTGTATCCCTGACCCGAAAGGTGATTTCTGAGGTGTTATAAAAGCTGGAAAAAGTTCAACCTTTGCAAGTGAGCGCCGGTGTTGTTTATCACACTGCCGGACCGAAAACGACCCCGCCTGCAGGGATTGCCTGGAATTGACCGATTCGTGGTGGATCAGGAAATGTAGGTCCGAGATAGCGGTGTTTCCTGCCGCACTAGATGTGACTGCTCAGGAGTACTTGATTAGCGTGCTGGAGGTGGATGGATGAAGACCGGATGAATTACAGAAGGCTGAAGAGCGCGAAAGTCGCCGAAGGATCGGGGAAATGCGCCAATCCTGCCTAAATTGCACGAGTTGAGGCAATTAAGCCGAGAAATCACCCTATTGGTCCCCGCATCCCCTCCCCGCCCCATTTGGGGTTGACGCCATTCATACCTTTATAGTATACAAGGTACTCTTAAGGTGGATGTCTATAAGCCCCACAATGATCATAGTCTCGATAGTTCGCTCGACAGAATGTAGATTGCCGAGCTAATACCAGGAACGGACCGTTTTTTCGTGTTCACAACTCGCCATTTCTCTTGGGCAGATTTCAGTCACTTATTACAAGACTGGATGACTGGGTCTATCCTTCGATTCGGGTGTGTGTTCGAAAACTCTTAAACCTACTTCCAAAACCTGACGGTCTCGAACTCAACAATCGTCTTCGGCATGATCTCTGTCAGGTAGTGGTGGGGCTTCAGGGCATACCACCTGATCGGATTTCTTTCGACTGGAGAAGATTAGGCTGGTTTAATCGTTTCCAGGGCCTGGTCCAAGGATGGACCGGGGAAAAATGGGGATTGGTGGCCATTCACACCATATATGCGACCCTTATCAGATGGAGAAGTCAGGGTTTTTTGGACTTGCGTAGGTTTTAAAGCCGGCAAAAAGACCCATGCATCCTTGCTGACAGTTTTCAGACGTGCGGTGAAAGCCGATCGGCTGCAGTGCCCTTGCCCTTTGCAAATAAGCTTTCGCGAATAATCAAGAATCCCATGCCAGCGGGTGAGACGCCTGGCAGGCATCAAAGTATGCGAAGTCAGGGCTCTAGCAGCTCGTCACCGTCGACTGCGAGGAAACGTGCGAGCCTTGCTCAGCGTGTGGAGATTCTCACACTGCGAGTTCTACCAAGTAAGTAGCAAATAGGTCATGGCCATACGACGCCACACTGATCAACCACAATGCGAAAAGTTTGATGACTCGGAATATGCTCTCCGAAAGAGAGATGAGTGTCCTGACATACACAACCATGACTATGACTACAATCCAAAGCCGATGCATGGTATTCCCCCCATATCCGCTCACGAGTTCTACTCGCGATTCTATGCATGCTACCGACCAGACCCATGGTCGGTCCACTTCTTCCATCGATGTAAAAGAGCCAGTTCACACTCATGTGAAATTCTCGATATGCTGCCCAAAAAAAAAAAAAAATACGAGCTGGAAGAGGGTGGTGATCAGCGAGAGGCTTTTTGGGGGATATATGCGCGCGAGATGCCCTGCTTTCGGGTGGTGGTCATCTATAACGTTCTCTGCATACTTTCTCTCTTGATATTTTTCTTTTTGTGGCTGTTCCCACTGGGTCACGGTGGAGACTTGGAAAGCGCTGCTGTGCCGTTGTCAAGCATGCTGGGGATGGAGTATCTTTCTTGGAAGCCTGCATGGCGGTAGAGCGGGTATCATGCCGTAGTTGGTTGAAGGCTGGAGATGTCAGGCACTAGATTCATCATTCTTCTTCTTTTTACCACCGAGAAGGAAAAGCGATAAGCATTAAGCATTAAGACTCGACCGGAGTATCTTCTTTGCTAAACATAACAAACATTGTATACTGTTTTACACCCCTTGTCCTACACGAAATATGTTCCGTACCTGATATCAAACGTGGAATCTTACAGTGCAGGAAATAAACAGCGGTAATTTCTGGAGTCTAATTAGGAGAAGCAATACATGTCTAGATTTCTCTGTAGTAATGCAGACATTAACAGCGTCGTCGAGAGATATTTATATATTGGACTTGGGCTGTTGCCTTCTTCAAACTAAGAGTCTTCTTTTAATTACAAGAGGGCTTTCGGGTGATTTGTGACTGCATATCATTCTATACAAGTAGAATATAAAGAAGATTGCGAAGCTACCGGAAGTGGAAAAGTTTGAAGAAGACTGGGAGGAATTTATATCCCGGTACAAACAAGATGGGATGTTGACCAAAAGTTAATGTCAATTGAAATGGCATTCAACACACAGTACACTGAATATTATTGGATATCAACTCCTATACAAGTTTCAGGATGATGCATGATGAGAATTATATTGTCATTGATTGGTGTTGAGGGTCCTTCGCGGCCTGCTTGATTGCCGCCTCCGCGACGGAGCGGTACCGAGCGCAGTACTGAACTAACCGCTTGACTCCTTCATTAGGAGTGCTAAGAATTAGAGATGAGAGAAACTCTTCCACCTGTGATATTAGTTTCATGTCGTAGACTCGAGAAGCCTCATTGGGATTGCGCAGGATGCCGAAAGAGAGGGTTTTCGACGCGACCATCGCATAATGGATGAGAATTCTTCAATCACGTTTTTGATTAGCATGCTAAACCTATTTGATAAACTGGGCGTTGCTTTACCCGGTTGTAAAGATGTTCCCTGTCGGCATGTACTTCATCAGATGGATCGAATCTCTCGCTGCTCGAGCGCAGAGTGACGCCGACATGAATACGTTTGAATTCGATGGTGGAGTTGTTGACGTGAAGAGGCCGATTTTCTGCGTCAAATCCATTCCCTTGATAAGTTCTTGAGTGACGATTAGGCGATGCATTGAAATTATGCAATTGAAGTATGAGTAATGCGCTAGGAGAAGGAGCCCAAGCTCTGGTGACTCGGGTAATAGCGAAGGGAGCCGAGAGTCTGGTTGATATTGGGATGGAATATCTGCTTTCCATCGTTGGAGCTCCTCATCTAGCGAGGAAATCGCAGCTACTGTCTGGGCGAGAGGTCTGTCTGTGGCTGCAGCCGAATAGAGGCGCTTGTAAACATGGCCTTTGATCACGGCAAGTTTGCAACAGGATCGGAATACGTTGAAACTCTCTTGGCCATCCTTAGTGGGTATCAGGCCAACTTTATCGGCGGGGAATTCAGCCGGTAGGTTTACCGCAATGTCTTCGTCCCTCTGTGAAGGAACACATCCAAATCGAAGTGAAATCCTAGAGTATATATTAATGTGGATCTTCGGTTTAGAGTGAAGGAAACCTGATTTTGGCATACTCTCGATCAATACTGTAAGAAATCCAGAAAATTCTCCGTCTTTGCTCCAGTTCTTCAGGATCCAATGCCAAGCTGTTTTCATCGGTTCTCTCTAGCCCAATCTGATGACCGATATTAATGGCAGTCGAGATCAAGAAGCTGCAAGGTCGAGCGCTTGGAGTGCCCAGGAGGAAGAATGTCTAAAAAGAATAACACAACTTAGAGGGTGGTTTTGATAGGGTAACAGTAATGCCGAACGAACTGTACCATTCCGATAAGCGCCTGAACAGCCCACAGATCAGGTGCACCGAGGCAAATCTCGGTCAAAGCCCCCAGGGCATTCTTAATGAAATGCCAGCTTTTTTGGTGATCTGGCTGTGCCACACTTTTATCTTTGATACGCAGGATGTACCCCATAGCGAGAACAACGTTGATGCACGCCCAGCGGCTGGGAAATTGAAGCATAGCGTTTAAATCTTCACTTTCGAACATTGATAGAAGCACCAAAGGCTGAAACAGCGGGCAAAGGACATTTACGGTTTGTAAATAGTCATGAAGTAAAGACATGGCTTCATCTTTTCGGGGCAGGGGATGGAAAGCTTTCCTGGGACATGTCTCGGCGAGCGGGCTGCTTAATGCGCTGTGGCAATGATGATCTAACAGTTCCAAAGATTCCAACATCTCGGGGTTTTCTTGGACATGGCTGGCTTCGTCTCGCGAGAGTATTGTCGGCAGATCTGTCTGGGATCTTAGTTGGTCGTTCTCGCCCAGATTAGTGAATCACCCACCTACAAGGGTTGGCTTGTGAGCGAGATATTGTGGAACAAGATAAGATGCTAGAGAATCTAATAGGGAGTTTTCTATCTCGGGTGAGCTCGTCATGTTTGATTCGGTATATTCAGCTGGAATGGCAGGGGTGCGCTGTCGATGCATTTCTTCTGCGGACCCTTCAAGGTTCAAGGCATGCGTGGCGTGATTCAAATAATTTCCGCCATCGGAATACGAAGAACCCGACCCATTTTCTAAAACAGAGAGATCAAGCCCCAGATGTTGTAGACATGTTTCCATTCGTTGCAGGTTTGATTCGAGACGATTGATCAAAGACAGACTGCATGGCACAAGCGAATCATGTTAACATTCCTCGGGATAAAAGCAATTGGATCGGCGATCGTATTTCTATAGTTACTTTTGTCTTGTTTGTCTGACCCTTCTATTCTTTCCGACTGAACGTGGGTTCACGCCTCTCTCGCAATGAGAGCATCTCGGCCTGCCGTCGGCGTCGCATTTTGGTTTCCTGCGTTGACATACATCACAAGTCTCCAAATAATCACTGTTAGTAATGATAGGGAAAAAAATCTGCCTGGGTAAGAGAGTAGCTTACATTTGGCTTTCCGGGGCTCATCTTGCCGCATGAATGAGATAGATGAGGTGGAAGTGGGCTGTTGCAGGCACTAGGGGGACATTTGACAGCTGATCTCCCGTCTAGTCTATACCTTGGGAGGAGTGCTGGTGGACCCGAGATGACCATACACGTATCGGATACCGGATGCTTTTTGGAAATGATCGGGATAGTTGTATTAACACAGTAAGATACATGGCAATTGCGGATAATCTTAATACATACGTGACAATGTTTGACGGCAGTACGCTGGGGGCACTGTATCTTACCACGTGAGGTACCTCAACCTTAAGATGGCACTAGACCTGATGGGTATCATTCATGGAGTCGGGGGAAGTTTGAATGAATGCCTGAGGTGTTTCTGACTTCACCGGGTCCCTCATCTCCCGATGCCCCGGGGAGGTACAGACATCCTATCCCAGGATGCACCTGCTATGTCATTTTCATTTCACCCGAGCTTTTCGGCCAGAACAATCCGTCAACATACGAATTCTCATGCATTCTCTCCTCCGGGAAGCCGGAGCCATGCATATCTTGTGTACGGAAGAAGAAAGGTTATCCAAGCCAGCCCAGCCCTCATTAGGAAGTCTCAGCCCTGGTATGAATCTGAACTTTTTCTTTTTCTTTGTTGACAGCCGTCGGTCCTTTTCTTCCTTTCCTGCTCCTAAGAGTGGCCCATATCTTACATGCCAGTCTAGGATTTAAAGATCTCGACAGGAAGACCTCGAGTTGCACCTTCTCCCTTTCGCTTAGTATCTCCTATGTGAAGTACATGGACAAATACACCGTCGTTCTCGACACCTCCCTAGTCCTTCTAACTCCTAATTTACACATCTAAAAAGACCAAATACCACGTACCACCATGTCGCTATTGGGCACTATCAACCCGAATCCTCGTCGGTCCCAATCGGTGGTTAGCCATAATCTTCCCCCTTCACCTCACGATGACAATCCAGCCCATGCCTTACCGGAGGATCGAAGTCAGGAAAAATGTGATATCGAGACTCTACAAACGGAGGAGGTCGGGAGAATGTCTATTGTCAGCCATCTAGCAAGGCAGCTCACGCGTCACTCCACTCAATTCTCTGAAAAGGTCATCATCGACAATCCATTCACGGTTAAGGACCCGGAGTCTACGGTCAACCCGCACAATCCAAATTTCAGAGTCAAAGACTGGCTGAAAATGTTGTTGGCGGTCAGACATAACGAGCCAGAAAAGTATCCGGAGCGGACGGCTGGTGTTGCGTTCAAAAACCTCAGTGTCCATGGATTCGGCTCTCTAACGGAATACTAGAAAAATGCACTGAACATCCTGCTCGAGATTGGAACCGTTTTCCGCCGGCTAGTTGGACTCAAGATGCCAAAGATTCAGATCATTCGCGATTTTGAGGGGCTAGTCAGAAGTGGTGAAATGCTAGTTGTCTTGGGAAGACCCGGTAGCGGTTGCTCAACTTTTCTCAAAACGATTGCTGGGGAAATGAATGGGATCCAGATGTCAGACGCATCGGTGCTGAACTACCAAGGTACGTATTCCTTTATATCTTGGATCTCCTCTCACGTGGAATAGTACCCCAAAGAATTAGCTGACAAGGTACGAAAGGTATATCTTCTAAGCAAATGCAGAAAAACTTCAAAGGCGAAGCGATCTACTCTGCCGAGACAGAGATTCACTTTCCCCAGCTCTCGGTTGGTGACACCTTAACCTTTGCCGCCCTTGCAAGAGCCCCTAAGAATCGGCTTGGTGGCGTGAGTGCCAAAAAGTACGCAGAGCACATGAGAGATGTGGTTATGACTATGCTTGGGCTGAATCACACTATCAACACCCGTGTTGGCAATGACTTCATTCGGGGAATCAGTGGCGGCGAGAGAAAACGCGTTAGCATCGCAGAGGCAACTCTAAGCCAAAGCCCGGTTCAATGTTGGGATAACAGCACGAGGGGTCTTGATAGCGCCAACGCATTGGAGTTCTGTAAGAACCTTGCTCTGATGAGTCGGTATTCAGGCACAACCGTCTGTCTCGCTATATACCAAGCATCGCAAAGTGCCTACGACGTTTTTGACAAGGTGACTGTGCTCTACGAGGGACGCCAAATATATTTTGGACCGGCATCCGAGGCTAAGAAGTTCTTTTTTGAGACGGGATTCGACTGTCCAGAGCGCCAGACCACTGCAGACTTTCTCACGTCGCTCACTAGTCCTACGGAGCGTTTAGTTCGACCAGGGTTCGAAGGATACGTGCCTCGTACCCCGGACGAATTCGCGGCAATGTGGAAGAAAAGCAGTTCTCGTGCTCGACTTCTTAGAGAAATCGAGCACTTCGAGGCCCAGTATCCCATCGGAGGCTCTTCTTATGATACATTCGTGAAAGCTCGCCAAGTGGTACAAGCGAACTCACAACGAGCCAAGTCTCCATACACCATTTCAATCTGGAATCAGATCAACCTCTGCATCAGCCGTTGTTTCCAGCGTCTTCGTGGAGATTTCAGCTTGACTGCAAGCTCTCTGATCGGAAACCTTATTATGGCACTGATTCTTGGCTCGATTTTCTTTGATCTCCCAAACAACACCCTCAGCTTCTACTCTCGCTCAGCTTTGCTTTTCTTCGCAGTGCTTTTAAACGCATTCTCCACCTCCCTTGAAATTCTCACCCTGTATGCGCAGCGGCCAATTGTGGAGAAGCATGCGAGGTACGCTTTTTATCATCCTTGCGTGGAAGCTATCTCGTCTATAATCTGTGATGTACCCTACAAATTGATCAACTCAGTTACTTTCAATGTACCACTCTACTTTATTACAAACCTACGACGTGATGCCGGGGCTTTCTTCACCTTCTGGATTTTTTCTATTGTCACATGTTTCACCATGTCAATGGTTTTTCGCACCATCGCCGCCTCATCGCGCTCACTCTCGTCGGCCCTCGTCCCTGCCGCTATACTAATATTAGGCCTGGTTCTCTACACAGGATTCACTATACCCACAAGAAATATGCTTGGCTGGTCCCGCTGGATGAACTATGTCAACCCAATTGCCTATTCGTTCGAGAGTTTTATGGTTAACGAATTTGCTGGCAGACAGTTCCCATGCACAACCATTATTCCATCAGGAGGGCAATATAATGCAGTTCCGTTGAACCATCGGATTTGTTCTACCGTTGGTGCCGAGCCTGGTTCCATGGTGGTGGATGGGACACGGTTTCTCGAGCTAAGCTATCATTATAGCCCGGCGCACTTATGGAGAAACATGGGGATTATTCTGGGGTTCATGGTCTTCTTCTTCTTTACATATGTCCTGGCGACTGAGCTCATATCGGAGCAGAAGTCAAAAGGGGAGGTTCTTCTGTTCCGCCGTGGCCACCAGTTGAAGCATCCTGATAGCGAGGATTTGGAGATCTCCTCGCAGCCCTCGGGGACGGCGGAATCCGCCTCGTCCACTCCTTCTGAGTCTGCGGACATTCAAAAGCAAACCTCAATCTTCCAGTGGGAGGACGTCTGCTATGACATCAAGATCAAAGGAACCCCGAGAAGAATCCTGGACAACGTGGACGGTTGGGTTAAACCTGGCACCTGCACCGCATTGATGGGTGTCTCGGGGGCTGGTAAAACCACATTGCTTGATGTTCTTGCAACCAGAGTGACGATGGGAGTAGTCACTGGCCAGATGCTTGTTGATGGGCACCCTCGTGATAGTTCTTTTCAACGGAAGACGGGCTATGTACAGCAGCAGGACCTCCATCTAGCAACGTCGAATGTTCGCGAAGCCCTTGAATTCAGCGCTTTGCTGCGCCAACCTGCCCATCTCAGCCGCAAACAGAAAATTGACTACGTTGAGGAAGTGATCAAGCTTCTGGGTATGGAGGCTTATGCGGATGCAGTGATAGGTGTTCCTGGGGTAGGACTGAATGTTGAACAGCGCAAGCGGTTGACTATCGGCGTCGAGCTTGCTGCGAAGCCGCAGCTTCTGCTTTTCCTAGACGAACCTACTTCGGGTTTGGATAGTCAGACATCCTGGTCCATCTTGGATCTGATCGATACATTGGCAAAACACGGCCAAGCAATCCTCTGTACCATACATCAGCCTTCCGCAATGCTGTTCCAGCGATTTGACCGTCTTCTTTTCCTTGATACAGGGGGCAAGACCATCTACTTTGGTGAGATAGGCGAGAATTCATCCACATTATCAAGCTACTTTGAGCGCAACAATGCCAAAGCACTCCAAATGGGAGAGAATCCGGCAGAGTGGATGCTAGAGGTCATTGGGGCGGCTCCTGGATCTCACAGTGATATTGACTGGTTCAAGGTGTGGCGAGAGAGTCCGGAATACGTTCAGATGAAAGAGCATCTCGCGGAATTGAAATCTTCTCTGTCTACCAGACCACGGGAGAAACTTGACTCAGAAGTTTTTCGAGAATTCGCTGCACCATTTCACGCTCAACTATGGGAATGCTTGGTCCGCATCTTTGCTCAGTATTATCGCTCGCCCACTTATATTTGGTCCAAAGCCGCTCTATGTATTTTCACCGCCCTTTACATCGGATTTTCATTCTTTCAAGCGAAGACATCTATGCAAGGCTTGCAGAACCAAATGCTCTGCATGTTCATGTTATTAACTATCTTTGGGAATTTGACCCAAATGATAATGCCCAACTTTGTGACTCAAAGATCGTTATATGAGGCTCGCGAGCGTCAATCCAAGGCCTATTCATGGCAAGCCTTCATAACCGCCAACATTATTGTTGAACTACCTTGGAACAGCCTCATGGCGCTTCTCATTTTCGTGTGCTGGTATTATCCGATTGGGCTCTATAACAATGCGAAGCCAACCGATGCCGTCTCGGAAAGGGGAGCCTTGATGTTTTTGCTGATCTTGACATTCCTCCTTTTCACCTCTACGTTCGCCCACATGGTGATAGCAGGGATTGAACTGGCCGAAACCGGCAGCAATGTTGCCTCTCTATTGTTCTCCCTTTGTCTTCTCTTCTGCGGTGTACTCGCTACAAAAGAGGCATTACCAGGATTCTGGGTATTTATGTACCGCGTTTCGCCGTTTACCTATCTAATCTCTGGGATGCTTTCAACTGGTCTCTCTGGGACAAAGGTCACTTGCGAAGAGGTTGAGTATTTGAAGTTCCAACCGCCGGCGAACCAAACCTGTCAGGAATATATGAATCCCTTCCTCGAAATTACTCATAATGGCTACCTGAAGGATCCGCAAGCCACGTCCGAATGTGCCTTTTGCCCGATCAGCGAGACCGATGCTTTCCTACGGGGTATATCGAGTGAGTCCTCAGATGCGTGGCGGAACTTCGGCCTGATGTGGGCATATATTGCGTTCAACGTTGTCGGGACAGTCTTTATCTATTGGTTGGCTCGCGTGCCCAAAAGTCAGAGGGTTTCGGATCCGCATAAGAGTTGAGATGCCTTCGTTCAAACTTGATTTTCCGTCCCATTTACGGATTCCCGATATCACGCGTGTTTCCGCATGTTACATGGTTTTATCCATTTTTGCTGCAATTCTATCTACTATCTCTTTATTTATCTTTTCGGTCATCTATATCCTTCTAAATTTGAATTGTCTTTGTTAACCAAAAAATTCTCAATCGATTGCTAGTCAGCAAAGTAGTCCTATGTAGATGTAGCAGGCGAATTGATCTAGAAAGACTCTTCCAAATATGGAGATCATGAATACTTTGCTTTGGACTAACACCTGACTAAATCTTCTATTAATAATGACTAACATAATTAACTACATTTTTCCTTACTTAACAATGCTCATCTAGCCCCTCCACTGATAGCTACGAAAATTGCGTATGAGGAAATGCCCAACAATCGACTTAACCATTATGCACGCTCAACACCGGCTACTACTAGTGTTACATCCGAGACAACGGCAAAGACCGAAGCAGAAGACGAAGGCCGAAGAAGAAACACACACCGAAGAAGACAAACACCGAAGTGGATATAATCGAAGAAGGTAACCACCGAAAAATGAGGTTCTGTAGAAAAAGGTTAGCCCTACTTCCTTATCTTTCTTCCCTTAACCTTTAAAAGCATAAATACAGATCGATCTCAAGCCATTTATTATCATCATGGCTAGATGCCCTGGCATCACGGTCTGGTACGAAGGACATATCTTGTGGGTGGGCGTTGAAAGGAGATAAAAAAAGGATTAGGGATGACTGCTAGTCAAGTGGACGTAGATTTTTTTTCTGTGAATATATGCAGGTAGAGGTAGGCAAAGACATGATCATTCGGTGATTGCGATGGTGAATCTATTGGAGGTGAGATGCTTGGCTGGCCGGAGACCCATGATGTGCACTAAGCCATTCTGGGGCTAGTGGACCTAACTGCAATCCTAATTTTTGCCATCAATCATATCCTGGTCCAGGCATCCTGTCTGTCGATCTTGGTAGATCTTTAACCTATTTTTATCACTCGATTTAACTGCTATGCATCTGGACATGTAAAACATAACGCACGTGCCGCTCTCAATGTGGAGTGAAGTCCTTCTCTAATAAAGATTTTATCGTGCTTTGATCGGGATCTGGCGTTGCGTTTCTATCTCTATTGTAAGTTTTGTAACTAGGATGGCAATGTACGCAATATTGAGGAACGTCATAGCATAGCCCCCCCAAAACAATTGAATATAAAGAGGATGGAATGCGTGGGTTGAAAAGAAAATGCGCTCAGTGAATAATGAACGAGCCATTCGATTGTGGAGATGAGGAGAGACAGAGAAGAGAGAAGATGGATAGATATAGAAAAAAGGCATATACAGAAATCGTATAAGATGTACACCACACCGTACATCCAGTGTACGTATACAATACCACCTATACATGCAAAAGAATCCAGGAAATGAAGGAAAGAGAAAACGCCATTTCGCCACGCAACTGATGGGACGTGAAAAGAAAAGAAAAATAGATGTCACGATGTATATCCCAAGAGAATCCCAAGTGGAAAGCGAGCACTTTTCCCTGAAAACTAAACAATAATCATCAACATAAGGAGTATTGGGGTTGGACATTCTCCGCTGGTGACGGATATGCAGAATAGAAGAAGTTTGCAGGAAAGGAAAAGCTCAAAAAGCACAATTAAAGCAGAGCTCTAGTTCTCCTTCTTCTCCTCGGTCGCCGGCGCCGGCGATTGGGCCTCCTCCTTGGCAGGAGCAGGAGCAGGAGTAGAAGCCGGAGCGGATTCCTTAGCGTCGGCATGGTCATGGCCGTGGTGGCCATGCTCGCCGTGCTTCTCATACAACGACACGTGCTTCTTCTTCAATCGCTCCTCCTCGGCGGCAACCATATCCTTCCATAGGTCGCCACTCTCGGCGGACTCCTCCTGTTGAGCCTTCTCCATAGCCACCTGTTTCTTCTTCTGCTCCTTCGACGCTTCCAGGAGGCCCTTGCCCCTGCGCTGGTCAGAGATCTCGAAACCGGCAGACGCGACCAGCACGGCGAGGGTCAAGCCCTGGGCGTAGACACGCGCCTGGACGATCTTCTGCTGCCCCGAGAGGTAAGGGTTGCGGCCGACGAGGGCGAAGGAGCCGATCATGGAGGCGATCCAGGTGACGCCGACGATCTTGTACTTCTCGCGGCGGGCCCAGAGCATCGCGCGATCGAGCATGGTCAGCTGGGAGAGCTCCTCGGAGCGCAGCCGCTGCTCGCGGTTCTCGTACCATTGCATCTGCTGGTTGCGCTCAGCCTCGAAGGACCGCGAGGCGTGGTCGGCGGCGATAATTCCCACGAAGGTACCTGACGAGGTCACCAGGAAGGCCTTCATAGGGAGGGTGAGGTTGCGGATGGTGTGGTAACGGCGCGACGCGAGCATGACACCCGCGGCACCGGCGGCAAGACCGCAGACGGTACCGATACTGCCGCCTTTGACGACGGAGCTGTGAAGTGATTGTTATGTTAGTCTTGAGGGGGGAAAGAGCGTGGAGGAGGCGATAATTGAGGCGAGGAGGGGCGACGAACCTGTAGTGGGCATTCTCTTCTTCCTTAGTGAGAAGCTTCATGGTGGGTTGACGAAGGTGGAGTTAACGAAATTGAACGGTGATGATGAGTTGAGAGAAATATTAACAGTGACAATTCGAAGGAGCACTGGCGATAATATATCCAGATAGGATGCGGTGAGATGAGGATGAGAAAAAGAAAAAAATCTCGAAGGCAGGAGATATTCGGAACTTAAGGTGAGCAAAGCCCGGTGACGTACGATGCACGGGATTCCCGACCTCGGGGACTCGCGGCAATAACTCGGAGTGGCTGCTGACAAACATCTCGCACGAGAAGCGCTGACTCAGACGGCAACGTTCCTCCGCGGTGTCGTTCTGGTGACTTTTTCAACTCAACAGAGGTCAGGAAACACCCTTACCGAGCTGCAACCTGGTCGGTCGGGACTTGTTAACCATGACCATTCTTACTCTCGTTCGTAAATCTAGATCGACTGGAATTTTGTCGGAGATCAGGTCCGAACTACTACTGAAAAAAAATTCACTTATCGATGATAACATTATTTCACGACCAATTCACCCAGAGCGCCTTCACTTTCATAACGTGACAAAGGAACAAAAATACAGTGCAGATTTGGAATTCAGAAGGGAGAAAAAAGAAAGAAAAATATAGGGAAGGGACAAAAAAGAGGAAAATATGAAGTAAGGAGCGAATGCGATGCCCAGTTCAACCGAATCACCGCCGCGATCCTGATCCCTTGGATGCAGCAATCTGGCGCGCCCGCATCTTTCGGAATCGGTCCTCTCCGCTGGCTCCCAAGGGACGAGCGAATTTGCTTTCCTGCACCATTGTAGGACGGGGTACCACGGTGTAACTGGTATGTGTGATATCGGCGCGCGCACGGTTGGCCAGTCGAGGAGGAAGCAATTCTCGAGCTCGTGCTTCGGCCGCAGTGGCCTGTGCCGACGGGGCACGAGAGGTAAGTTTCCTGTAATCGTAAGTCAGTATTGGGCTGGAGTCTCCGTCGTCGGGCAATGAAGACATACCTGGGGTCGAATGCAGCTTCCTGGTATACTCGCTTGGAGTAATCATCACTGCGCTGGAGGATAGGACGGGTCCATTCCGCAAGAAGACGCTCGGCCATACGTTTGATACCAGGCTCGGCGCGCTTGCTCTTGGTGTAGAAAACAATCACTTTTCCGATTCCACTGGCAATCAGGGCTTCCTTGTTGATAGGGAGTTTGGCTAGCGAGTTCATCAAGTCACGTTGGATGTTGTAGGCAGGCAGAGAGCCGTCATCGAGCGGTTCCAGGAAGAACTTGACAGCCTCCAGCAAGTTGATTTCGGGGTCGACCAAACTGTTGACGTATTGATTGCGGTTGAGAAGCGACACCACCTCTGGTAGCATCTTGAGCTTGTGCATGGCCGGGTTGCCTTCACGTCGGCTGGTCGCATCCATCTGTGCAGCGTGGGTCATGCGCTTGCGCATGTCCTCGATCTCAGCATCGGCCATTTGCTCCAGGTCCTAGATGATCATTAGTACCAAGTATGCGTTTGCAGGAAATGAATGTAACGACATACAATGCCGTCTTGCTTTTTGAACCGTCTCTTGGTGGGCTTTTTCATTGCTTCATCCATAGCACGATCAAGGGCTCGTCGACGACCTGTTACCGTTAGACATCACATCGGATAATCTTCCCAGACAAAACCTACGGGTCGCCGGGTCCAAAAGTTCCTCATCTTCCACCACCGCCTCTTTCTTCTTCCGCTCTCTTCTTCTCGAGGATGACCCCTCTCCATCACTGCCCTCCTCCAGCTCCTTCATCCGTCGAGTCTTCTTCTCTCGCCGACCTTCCCTCTTCCGCTGGGATCTCTCGCCGCCGCCTTCCCCATCACGCTTGCGCTTATGCCGACCGATCAGTTTCAGATTATCTTCGTCGATCGCTAACTGGGGACGGTCTTCGATATCAACATTCTCGGGGTCGAAGTCTTCGAACTGCGCCTCGTCGACTTCGGAGAGGATCGACTCGTCATCGGAGCCACCGCCCGCTCTCTCATCCGCGTCGTCATCATCCAGGGCATCGTCCGCGTCGGGACTAGCTGGCGCAGCGGGCTTGTCTTCGTCCTCGTCGCCGGCGTCAGGAGTAGGCGCCTTAGCATCCTCGGCGTGATCGTCTGCGCGCCCGGGACTGGGAGCCGCGGTCGGAGAGTCGGGCTTTACTTCAGGACTGGCCGACATTTTTGTTTAGGTGTGTATGGTTAAAACCGTCAATTTGGAACTGAGGCGTCGGCGCTAAAAGGCGCTCCGTGTGTGCTTTGCGCTAACACGGAGCAGAGATGATTGAGTAGAGAGATCGAAGTGAATCGATCGAGCGAGAATTCTAGGATGTATAAACTTTTTAGAATATGCAAGAATGCGTATGAAACAGGGAGGAAGACGGAATAAACAAAGTGAAAGGTGGGAGAA